GGAGGGGCCGAGGTCCGGCCGCAGCCCCAAGAGGTGCACGGCCCAGGCGGGAGCGGGCGGCGCGGGAGCACCCCGGATGACACCGGGAGCATCTTGGGGACCCCCGGGCCGGAAGTGGGCCTAATTCGGGGAGACTCGGTCCCCGCCCGTCGGGAGCCGCGGACCGGAGAACTTGCGGTCTTTGTCTGGCTGGAGCGTCAGAGCACGCGAAGGAGAACTTGTCGGGGGCCGCCGTTCGCCGACACTGCCCCCCACAGTGTGTTTTCCACCCAGACAGCGCGCGCTCTTAGCGTTCCCGGGCCTTGGGGTCGGGGTGTCTGGCTGTTTGAGAACCGCCTGTCAGGAAACTCACTCCGTTTAGGCCCCGGCTCTTCCCCCTTGTCCTTTACTTAAAAAAAAGGAAAGAAAGCAAGCACAGGAAAAAGGAGAAAGAAAAAACCAGGCAATTTAAGATTGCTAAATATAAGCTAAGGAACTCTGCCAGAAGCCGGTGAGTCTCGAAATCCTGTTATTCCCACACTCGGAAGTTGGTGTCGTGTGTCGGCCACAACCTAGTTCAGATTCTGTTCAGAAATAGACAACTGACACAATGCCTTCTCTTTCCGCTCGGCGAAGTGTGCTTTACTGCCTCGTCCAGTTCATATGAGAGGCTGGCTGCTTGGCCAGTCCCTGTGACTGGCCCTGGGGATCCTTCTTTACCTGAAGACACCAGTTCTTTTATGTGCAAAGAAGGGGGACATGGTTCTCAAAAACGGCCAGGTGATACAGCATATTATCAAAGGGCAGTTGCAAAGGTCCAGATTCGAGAATTCCATTCCAAATCTGTCACCAATTGATTAAAGAACTTTGAAAAATCTGTGTTAGTTTTAGAAACTCATTAGAAACATTAATGTTTAATTGATTAGTGAATATTAACTACTTTGATGAACCATGAAAGCTTTTGCAAAGACAGGATTATTAAAGTGAGGAATGCCTTTTAGTAGTAACTATGAAGTTCATTACCCGCATCTGTGTTGGAAGGCATGTAGGCTGAGGGCAGTTACTATATTTTCTGCAGCACATGTTGGCTTGTGGAGTGTTTATGGTGAGCAGAATCTAAGAATATGGCTAGAGAAAATTCCTATCGGTGGAATTTTTAAATCCTCTGGCAATGATGGTGGTTGTGTAAATAGCTTCTGATTATCATGCATGAATTCATTTATCCCACAACACAAATCCATAGAGTCAAGACTGAGGTTATCCCCATTTTACAGATGGGCACACTGAGGCTTAGAGAAGTAAATTCCCCAAGTTCATGCAGCTAGCAGTGACAGAACTAGTGGCCTCTGCCCAGGACTCTCCAGCTCCACAAAACCACTGAGTCACTGCCTCCTTTCTTGTAACTGGCCTCTATCATTCACGCGCACACACTCTCCCTGCCCCCCTTTTTGCAGACAAGACAACGTGATTCACTCTGCCAAGTGAGTCATAAGAGTGCAAGAGACTGGGGACGAAGCCCATGTCACCACTGGCTGCTAATATCAGTTCATGTCAGTCTGTCAGGAGCCTCCCGGGCCTCAGTAGAAAGGCATTTGAGAAGACACTCACTGGTTTGCAGAACCTACCTGCAGCTGGTCTCAGCCCTGGGTTTTGGGTAGTTCAGTGCAGTGGTTAAAAACATGGCCTCCAAAGTAGACTGCTGAGTTCAAATACCAACCCTGGTCCATAGTGCTGACTTAATTCCTTTGTGCCTTAGTTTCTCCATCTGTAAAATGGAGATAACACTACCTACCTCAAAGTCCTGTTGTAACGATTATCTAAAGCCCCTAGTACCTGGCACACGCTAAGTGCTTGTTACTATTTATTATTATTATTATTATTAATGACCATCATTTGGATTTTTCACATTTAACTAGATTGGTAAAAACATTTTGGTAAATGGGTAAAACATTATTGTTTGGTAAAAACATTATAATTGATGACCATCATTTGGATTTTTCACATTTAACTAGATTGGTAAAAACATTTTGGTAAATGGGTAAAACATTATTGTTTGGTAAAAACATTATAATTGATGACCATCATTTGGATTTTTCACATTTAACTAGACTGCTAAAAACATTTTGTTTTTGTTTTTTGATTCCTTGTATGTGTGGTCCATCGGGTGGAAAGTTGATCATAAGCAGAAGTGGAATTCTCCCTGTAGGTGTATGTACACTCTTATCTTTGTAACTTTGCAGGGGACCTGGTCCCCTTGGGCTATTCCAGGGACCAGGGCAACCAGGTTGCCTGGTAACACAAATTTCAAGTAGAGATTTTAGCTTGTCTCCCCCACCTGGCTGAAGGACCCTGATTTTCTCACAGGCCTGAGTCCTCTCTTGCAAGATGAGCTACTTAGTTTCATATAGTGTTACAGTGCGGGGAGGATGGCTGCTTGGATGGGAAGCAGTTGCAGCAGCAGAGGTAGATTTTATTGGTGTGCATTGTATTGTACATTGT